GCAAAAGGTTCACGCCCCTTTCCCTCCTGCTTCCAATCGGTGGCGCCCTCTCTCTCTCTCTCTCCTCCCACCGCCGCAGCAAGCAGCGCCCCGCGAGGTGACGTTACCAAACCCCGCCCCCCGTCTCACATAGGCAGTGAGTCCCCGCCCCCCCGCTCTCCCTATTAGCAGAGAGCGGGCGGGAGCGCGCGAGGAGTAAATAAATAAATAAGCGGGCGACGGCGGCGGCGGCCACGTTGTAATATCGCGATAAAAAGTCTAGTCTCGCGGTTGTCTCCTCCCGCCTTTTTTGGGGATGTGGCAAATACGTCAAGGGGGGGGGATATCTTTGTAAATTATATTTTATTTTTCAAATGCTGTCTTCTTTATGAAACCAGATGCTTAAAATTAGGGTCGCCAGAGTGATTGGCATGTTTTGTTTCCCACAGCCCTCTCTCTCTCACACACACGTACACATGCGTGCAAACTGTTTCCTCGGTCTCGTTGCTTCTGGGCGTGTGCAGAGTGCCTTTCAGGAAGATTTTTTTTTTAAAAACTGTCAGTTATCTGAACGTTGTGGAGGTTGCGCAGGTCAAAAGTCTTATTTGGGGAGGAAAAAGCATTCTGCGGCCTGTGTGCCTCTGAGCATGTGCAAAGTGCCCCCTCCTGCTCCCAACATAAAGGGCAGGGCTTAGGTGCAAACTTCTGGCCACGGCTGTACGCCCTTGCTGCATTAATGCTAAATGCAAAAAAAGTGCTGGCTTTATATCTTTCCATTCTGGAATGAAATTCCAAGCTAGGCCACGAAAACTGTTCCTGGAAATGTTGAAATGTTCTTGTTCTTACCCTGCTTTCCAATGTAGCATTGTAAACTGCTTTGAGGGTTGTCCCCCAGTTAAGTGGGGTACACATTTTATGAAAAATACAGCACACTGCAAAAAACCTGCTCCCACCCCATAATGAATAACCATCTAGATGCACCGTCAGTATTCCAGCTGCAAGTTAATGGGAGTTATTCCCAAATAATTGTGCACAGGATTGCATCTTTAAATGAGCAGCTTTCATTTCTGGGTAAAGACCTGGCATCCTTAAAATGCACATGCTATTGCCTTTGAAAACATCTCAGAAACTTCAGTTAGTACATAATACTAGCTTACTAAAAGAGCTACTGTACTACAGTATATATGAAGGACATCTTATCTTAATTTGATTATGAAGCTCAGTGCTGTGAAACAAACAGACAGGTCAGAGCAAAAAGCCTCCAGGCATCTCTTAAAGATACCTTGAAAAGGTGAAGAGGACTTAAAACATTTCCTTGCCATCTCTTGAGAGTTTTGTAATCTCGAAAGGACACTAATAGCCTGGGGAAATGGCAACTCAGTGGAAACAGAAACTAAACCATTCATCTCATGGATTTACATTGGTACAAATCCAGACACCAGGTGCCAACGAATAGGGAGGGTGAAAGTAAAGTGGCAGGGCTTTTTCAGAAAATTGTGTTTTTTTCTGAAAAACTGAACTGCCACTACTTTGTTATTGGCCTTCTGTGCAACTCTGCAACTTGTTGCAGGGGATCCAGCCTGACTGGCGCCAGAATTCCGGGGCCCACAAGCCCATTGTTGCTAGTTGGCCCCCAACACGCACCTGAAGACCTTCCCGTATTTTTTATTCTGCTTCTGCAGTAGCAGCAGAACGCATTGCCCTCCAGTGATGCTGGCACTGCCAGATGACTTCATTCGAGATTGTGTCTCTTTTTGGAAGAAAGGCTTGCAACTCAAACCATAATAAGTATTTTTTTGTAATCAGGAAATACATTCTTTCCCCTTACTGGAACTTCTACTGTTGTGTGGACACTGGACAATGTTTTCATGAGTATCACAGGCCTCTGCAGAACTGTGACTGGTATTGTTTCATAGAATCAACGCAACTAGCGCATGCACACACACACACAAATGCTTGCAGTGTTTGTGAGTCTACCTTGTTAAACAGGTAGCCAACTACAACTCCCATCAACCTCAGCCAGCATCACCAATAGTAAAGGATTATGGAAGTTAGAATCAAACAACATCTGGAGGGCACCACATTGGCTACGCCTGTAAAAATTGCATATCATTTTTAAAAAATATTATGAATGTTAGAAGCTGGACTATCCTATGCTGTACCATCCAACATGAGTGGGGTATTCCTCTAAACCTCTTGAAGAAGAGAACATGGACATTTCAACCAAGATCTGGTTGGGAGAAGGATTAGACAGCATCTTAAAAAGCAGAGACATCACCTTGCCAACAAAGGTCCGTAAAGTTAAAGCCATGGTTTTCCCAGTAGTGATGTATGGAAGTGAGAGCTGGACCATAAAGAAGGCTGATCGCCGAAGAATGGATGCTTTTGAATTATGGTGCTAGAGGAGACTCTTGAAAGTCCCATGGACTGGAAGAAGATCAAACCTCTGCATTCTGAAGGAAATCAGCCCTGGAAGGACAGATTATGAAGCTGAGACTCCAATACTTTGGCCACCTCATGAGAAGAGAAGACTCCCTGGAAAAGACCCTGATGTTGGGAAAGATGGAGGGCACAAGGAGAAGGGGACAACAGAGGACGAGATGGTGGGACAGTGTTCTTGAAGCTACCAACATGAGTTTGACCAAACCGCGGGAGGCAGTGGAAGACAGGAGTGCCTGGCGTGCTCTGGTCCATGGGGTCACGAAGAGTCGGACAGGACTAAATGACTAAACAACAACAACAACAAAAGCAGAAAATGAATCACTTATAAGAAAGCAACTCAGTGTAGTGCCTCACTGCAAGGAAAAGCATTGGCCTTCTGTTTTGCAAAGCGAGCTTGAGCACTTTGCTGCAGGTGGATCCATTAAGAGATAACGGATGAGAAGCACTTTGAACATTTCAGATAAGCTAAATAAATGTTAAGTCTTGTTATTGTTGTTCTGACTGCAGATGGAGGAGGATTAGTGTCATATAGAGTGACACTTGGTGGAAGCCAAGAGAAATCCAGGAAAAAGAGAGACAAAGAAAGACTGTTCCCAATGAATGCTTTTATATGTGTTAACTATGCACTACAGGAGACTCTCAAAAGGCTTAGGCAGCCAAGGTCATTACCTTTCCCTTTTAATCACTGCTTTGTTTTATAGAGATAAAAAAGGCAGCAGCTGGCTTAAGAAGTATACGTATGTGGCATTGCATCATTTCAGATTTCACCAACCTGGTGCTCTCCAGATGTTTTGGACATCAACTCCCATCAGCCCTGCCAGCTTGGCAGTACTGCTTTGCAGCTGCTCAATGTAAGAAAGACAGAGGCAATGGGTTTGTTTTTTTAAGGGCAAGATCTACCGTAATTCCATATACCCCATTTAGTGCCCTAATTTTGACAGATGTTTAGACCAGAAATCTGCTATGAACATCCTTATACATGGGGCACTTCACAAACATGGGATAGCCAGAGAAGTCTTAATTTTTGGCATCTCTCCACTAGAATGTTTCACGTTTCATCTGGTGTTTAACCCACAAAATTAAACAAAGCCATTTGATTCCATGACTCCCCAACAATTTTAGTAGATTTCTGCACCTGATCACACAATATAACAAAATTTGAGCCGACAACACTGAGGGTTTGATACCTTTGTTTTCACTTTGTCCTTATTCCATAAGAAGCCTGACTCTTGCAGCAGGTCTTTCTACCACAGTATGTGAAACCCTAGTTAATATTGCTACCCTGACATGATGATATTAAGGAACTTTGGTTTCAAGTATGCCATTTATTTATTCTGTGTTGCAGTTAAGATGGGTGGGTGGGTGGTTGCCTCTCTGGAGTTCTCCTCAGTTGGATCTTCATTCCCAGGCCCTGGATTGTTCCTCCTTTCCAGCACCACCAGGTGTCCATGGTGACCACTGGGAAATACTGGGAGGAGCAGAGATCAGCTCCAGAAATGATGGCGACCCTAGAGAAGCCGTCCCAGTTTTTTATTTGATCCTGCAATGTCCCAGTTTTCCTTAGGGTGTCCCAGTTTTCATCGGAGAAATATTGGAGGGGATGAGAGTATCTGAGTACCTTGCAATGGTCTTGGCCCTTTCCCCTTTGATCCTGGCTTTTTCATTTCTTGGGCGCTGTCCAAAATGTGCAGCCCCGCTTACAGCCCTGGCCTTGCCCATAGGAAACAAAGGTTGATTCATAAGCACGGGAGAGGGAGGACGACGACAAAATCCTCAGTGGCGCATGGCCTTAATGAGGTCCAACCAAAATGCCACAAAATAGCTTGCAGCCTTTCGTAACGGCGCCACATTTTGCCGTTTTCCATCAGAGAGATCGCCAAGAATTGGAGCATCAGGGGATTGGGCTAGATCAGGCACAGGCAAACGCAAGCCCTCCAGATGTTTGGGACTACAATTCCCATCATCCCTAGCTAACAGGACCAGTGGTCAGGGATGATGGGAATTGTAGTCCCAAACATCTGGAGGGCCGGAGTTTGCCTAGATGACCCTCGGGATGCCTCCCAACCCTACAATGTTATGATTCGATGACACTTCAGCCCCAACACTTCAGCCCCAACAAGTACGGCCAACGGCCAAGGCTGATGGGAGTTGTAGTCCACATGTTGGACTACAACTGGAGAGGCGCCGTTCCTCTGTCTACTACGCAGGGACTCTTCGCACGGAGGCGCCCCTCCGTTTCGCAACCGGAAGTTCAGGTTGCGCATTTGTCTTCTACCCTCTTAGGGCACGCGGGACTTGCAATGGGAGGCGGCTGCCGCCGCGGCCTAAGCCAATACTACTCCAATGCTGTAACCAATAAAAGTTGTGGCCTAATTTTGCCCATTAACCTAAAACAACGTCTTTGTGTGTCTTATTATAAACCTATGCGGGTGGAGGGTCCTCGACTCACAACCGGAATTTCAGGTGGCGCGTTCGGCTTCTACCTCTTAGGGCACGCGGGACTTTTGCAACGGGAGGCTGCCGCCGCCGCCGCCGCCGCCGCCGCGCGACGCTCTCCCGCCGGCGCCTCTATGGCGATCCGCTCCGGCCGCCTCCATCTCTGTAGCCGGAAATGGACGGGCCGGGCGCGTTTGTTGTGGTGGACGCCGCTTCCTCCGCTGCCTGCGCGGCCGCTGTGACGGCGAGGCCCCGAGGGGAGAGGGCGAGGTGAGGCGGGAGCCCCGGGAGGGTGAGGGGAGGGAGGCCTCGGGGAATGGGGCCGTTGGCTGAAGGAAGCGGGTTGGTCACGCGCCGGGGGTGACCGTCGGAAGGGGGCGCGGCAAGCGGAGGAGAGAGAGAGAGGGGGGTGGACCTGGCTGAGACTGAAGGGGGAATGGGCGCAATTCTGGGCCACAAAGTTCTCTGGGGGGCGCTCTGTCCCCGCGAAGCCTACCTCACGGGGCTGTTGTGAGGCTGAATGGGAGAAAGGAGGGGCCGCGTGCGCCACTCTGGGGGTGAAAGGCGTGAAACAAATTGCACGAAATAATAATAATAATAATAATAATAATAATAATAATAATAATAATAATAATTAATATGTTATTTGTACCCTGCCCATCTGGCTGGGTTTCCCCAGCCACTCTGGGCGGCTTCCAACAAAGTATTAAAATGCAGTGGTCTGCCTCAGGATACTCCACTCCATAATAATAATCCGGCCCTGGGTGAAGGTTGTGAAACAAATTGCATGAATAAATCCCTCACACACACTCTCTCTGCACGTGTAGCAAATGCAGTGCTGGATTTATGTTGAACAAGCTATAGGTTAGGGCCCCATTCTCTTGCCCCCCCCCAAAAAAAATGTAAAGGAAAAATAACCTGGATGTACATTTCCAAAATATAAGATGAAAAACAAATAAAATAAAACCTACATACAGCAGCAGTGTTTTGTGTTGTGTAGGCTCCTATGATGTAAGTCATGGGCCCTGCCTGCTAGCCTGCTCCCTAAAATATCACTTAGAAAGGGTCCCATTACCTTCAGTAGCGTAAAGGTAAAGGGACCCCTGACCAATAGGTCCAGTCGTGACCGACTCTGGGGTTGCAGCGCACATCTTGCTTTACTGGCTGACGGAGCCGGCGTACAACTTCCGGGTGATGTGGCCAGCATGACTAAGCCGCTTCTGGCGAACCAGAGCAGCACATGGGAACGCCGTTTACCTTCCTGCCAGAGCGGTACCTATTTATCTACTTGCACTGGTGTGCTTTTGTACTGCTGACTTTCTGATCAGCAAGTCCTAGGCTCTGTAGGGCCTCCTCAAACCTAAATCCGGCCCTGGGTGAAGATTGTGAAACAAATTGCATGAATAAATCCCTCACACACACACTCTGCACGTGTAGCAAACGCAGTGCCGGATTTATGCTAAACAAGCTACAGCTTAGCGCCCCACTCTCTTGGGGGGCCCCCAAAAATTTAAAGGAAAAAACACACCTGAATGTACATTTCCAAACTATAAGATAAACTTCTTAATTGTATTTCAGTTCAACAATTACTTTGATAAAATACATATTTTGTTATGTGCAAATGGCTTTCGATACCTATCAGGTCCGCAAATTACCAGATATACTTAACACAAAAAACACAAAAAACAATGACAATTCGTTTTTGAAAAAGGACAGCTGGGTATATAAAGGGCCCCATTACTTTCAGTAGCTCATGGGTTGGTTTACAGTATCAAGGCAAAGCTATGGAAAGGGTATTTAGATAGTTTTGAACTGTAGGTGGGGAAAGAGTGTCTTAAAATGGGGGGGGGGGAAATGTATTGGTTTAAGGTGTAGCTCAGCTTGTTCTGGATAAAGTGTGTGTAGAAATCCAGTTTGAGGAGGGATCCTGTTGCTGCAGAACTGCTGATGTTTGGAAGGAAAGGGCGGGCAAGCAATGAGTTAGTTTAGTGCTACCTGTATGCCCTGGTATTCATAACAATGCATTCGGTTCCCATTTAGAACTGGATATATATGAACCTGCTGGGATTAAAGAGCTTTTCAATGTCTGCAGGATTAAAGAGCTTATCAAGCTCTAAACAGAACATTAACATGTTAAGTTGTTAGGAACGGCCTGTTCAACCTGAATACAGTGCTGCAGACAACTGAGATTCATTGAGGCAAGTTCATGGTTGGAATTATCCTTTGGAACCTGGCTGAAGTCTTGTGCAACGTGGTGGATTATTTATCTTTTAAGATTAGACAGTTATGCTTCTGTTCTATAGACTGTGATGTGTGGTTAAGTAATGTGGTTTATTTTCCTTTTCCTTTTTTTATTACAAAATATGAGAAACCCAACCCACTGACAGTGCTGCTTGTGTTCTTTAGCCTTAGGGCACTTGCAGAGAGGAGTAGATAGTTCTGATGCTGATGAAGCTGATGATAATAATAATAATAGTAATAATAGTAAATAATACTTTTAATATTTGTATGCTACCCATCTGACTGGGTTGTTCCAGCCACTCTGGGCGGCTCCCAACAGAATATTATTCTCAATTGAAATGACAGCCTACTTGAATTTAAAAACAAACTCAAACCCACCCCTGTTGCACTTTCAGAAAAGACACTTCTTCCTGAACTTCCTGGTGATAAAGATATTCACATTTTTTATTTTTTTCAGTGTGAGCGCACCACGCTTATTGTCGCTGTACTTTATTTCCTTTTCGATATATTTTCTTAAATTTGATTTGTAAGGTAAAAGGTAAAGGTACCCCTGCCCGTACAGGCCAGTCTTGCCAGATTCTAGGGTTGTGTGCTCATCTCACTCTATAGGCCGGGAGCCAGCGCTGTCCGCAGACACTTCCGGGTCACGTGGCCAACGTGACAAGCTGCATCTGGCAAGCCAGCGCAGCACACGGAATGCCGTTTACCTTCCCGCTGGTAAGCGGTCCCTATTTATCTACTTGCACCCGGAGGTGCTTTCGAACTGCTAGGTTGGCAGGCGCTGGGACCGAACGACGGGAGCGCACCCCGCCGCGGGGATTCGAACCGCCGACCATGCGATCGGCAAGTCCTAGGCACTGAGGCTTTTACCCACAGCGCCACCCGCGTCCCCTAAAAAATTTGATGTGTAAAAGTAACTAAATAGAATATATTCACGGGTCCTTCACTGAATCCCTCTTGCTTACTTAAAAACCCCCTTGTCAGTTGTGTTACACCGACTCTGGAATGCTCTCCACAGCTTGGTGATGTCTTTTCGCTGCTGCGTGGCGTTCAAAAATCCATTCGTTATTTTATCTATTGTTACTCTTATAGTCCAAGGAGCCATGCGTGGTTCTCCAGTGTGGAGCTCTGCATTGCTTTCCGTAGAATCATAGAATTGTAGAGTTGGAAGGGACCCCAAGAGTCATCTAGTCCAACCCCCTGCAATGCAGGAATCTCAGCTAAAGCATCCATGACAGATGGCCACCCAACCTCTGCTTAAAAACCTCCAAGGAAAAAGAGTTCACAACCTCCTGAGAGAGACAGTTCCACTTTTAGTCAGGCCTGGGGAAAAACAGCAACACATTGCTGCTGCTGTTTTATGCTGCTATATATATATTGTGTGTGTGTATTGTGTGTGTATGTATTGTAACTCTTCATTTTAAACCGTGTTAGCCGCGGTGGGAGGTTTTGCTCAAAGAGGAGCAAATGAATACATTGAGTAAACGAAATACTTATTTCCAGGTTGCCCCCATGAGTTCTCCTGTGGAGGATGTCCATGATCCTCTTTGCCTGCGTGGTTCGGGTGAGGGATGGACTTCCACTCTCTGCCTCCACGGACTTCCACCTAGACCAGGACTTCTTGGAGTGCAGGAAGAGGCTCAAGACCTTGTCATCCATTCTGACACAGTATCCAGAGCGTGGGACAGCCAAAGAACGTGACCTCAGTATACAGTAAGTCATGTTTCAGCTTGGCAGAGATGTAGGTTTTCCCTGAAATTGCCTTGATGGGTACCTTCATGTATGTTCCCTTGATAGTAACATTTTATTTATGTGTTTGTACTCTGCTTCATTAAAATATATATCTACAGTTACTAGAAAAGGTATGGTAATAAAATCCCAGCTTAAATTTAAGAGATGCATAGTGTCACAATCTGAAAAACAAAACAAAACAACAACCTACAGCCATTAGGGAAAGCCTGAATAAACAAACAGTTTTTTTAAAGTGAATGAACATGCCACGGTTGATGCCTCTTAGATGACATGTAAGACTCATAGAGCATATTGGATTTTTCAGATTCCAAAAATGAGGGGTGCTAAAATCAAGTAGGGCGTCTGACCAAGCCTCTCTGTAACCTCTTTCTGCTTTGTCCAAGGTTACTTCCCGATAACATGCAAGTTAAGCACACATCCATAGCTGTGGTCTCTGGTACCAGCAAGCTCAGCAAAGGGTAGTGTTTTTACAACTCTGGGCAGCAGCCTACTCCCTGCATATTGAGAGATATTCTTTAAATTCAGTGGAAGTGTAAGGCTCACAGCCTGTCTGTTTCAGGCAAGGGATGCAGTTCTGGGCTTGAACAGCAAACAACCCCATCTCCTATAGCAGGGGTAGGCAACTTAAGGCCCAGGGGCCGGATGCGGCTCAATCGCTTTCTCAGTCTGGCCTGCGGACGGTCCGAGAATCAGCGTGTTTTTACATGAGTAGAATGCATCTCTGAGTTATTTGTGGGGCCTGCCTGGTGTTTTTACATGAGTAGAATGTGTCCTTTTATTTAAAATGCATCTCTGGGTTATTTGTGGGGCATAGGAATTCGTTCATATATTTTTTTTCAGAATATAGTCTGGCCCACCACATGGTCTGAGGGACGGTGGACCGGTCCAAGGCTGAAAAAGCTTGCTGACTCCTGTCCTACAGTGTTGGGATTCTAGGTGCCGAGCTGTGACTGCAGCTATTGGGTGTTTGTTTGTTGCTGCTCTGGTCCCTTAGTTAAGTTTGTGTCTGGTGCTCGCAGTGAATCCTGGGTTTTTCTTCTTCTCAGCTTTCATTCTTCTGGAGACGTGGCCTGCATGGGGATTTGCACCAGCAGTTTCCCAGCTGCCATGGCGTTCTGCTTTCTGGAAGAGCTCCAGTGGGAGTTTGCCACTACCTATGATGCCACCAGTGTGGGCCTGGCTTCCAGACCGTATGCTTTTCTAGAATTCGGTGCGTACAATGCTTGCCTTGTCTCTCTTCCTCCTCCTCCACCACCTCCTCTTCAGGAATCGGTAGCAAGCATCGCATTTCAAATAAATCAAGAAGCCCGGCTAACATTCTGCCTTATACTAGCTGATACACCTTAATGGCCCTAACCTCAATTGATGATATCTGCCAGAGAGGAAGCATAGCGATAACCATCCTGCCCAAACAGTGAAATAAAGAGATTATTTGTGATACTTATTTGGGGTTGCCCTTGGAGACTGCTGATGGTAAAATAAGTAGAAGGGGTTGAACATTTTGCCCACGTATGTGGTGCTGGAGTATTCAAGGACTTAAGCCCATCCAAGTTAGGTTATGGATGAGGTCCATTTGCTTCAGATAAGCTGCTTGTTCAGCTAAAAGCAGCAGTTCTTAATTTTGTAGAAATTCCTTGTGTGTCCTTCTCCATAATAACATAAGAAGGTCCCTGCTGGTTCTTGCCAGTGGCCCATGTAGTCTGGCATCCTGTTCTCACAGTGGTTAACTAAATGCCCGTGGAAAGCCTGCAAGCAGGACCTGAGTGCAGCAGCCCTTTCTCCCCACTTGTGATTCCTAGGAACTGGTATTTAGAGGCCTGCTGCCTCCAATGGTGAAAGTAGGTCATTGCCACCAGGCAAACAAGACCCTCTCCCAGTGATTTCTGATGGATGTACTTGTGTACTTCCAGTAGCCCTATGGTAGTATCAGGCGGTGCATTCCTTATCGCTTTGTCTTGCAAGCGGCCAGTACTTACTCCATGGAAGCTGTGGCACATTTGACCAGGCTGCATCTGTTCTGTGCCCCATGCCACTTCTGTACAAATCCAGCACTTGGAAAAGTTTAGTTCCACGGGCTGCATATTTTTCACCAAGGGAGCATATTTGTATGCGTTTTGTCAGGAGCAGGTCAGCTCACGTGGCGTCAGTGCAGTTAACTCTTTATCCAAAGAAACAAAACAGCTCAGGAGGCCAGGCCTAGTGAGCACAGCAACGCTTTCTGGTAGATCTTGCCCCCATGAGGCAGTTTTGAGGATGAAAGGTCCCTGCATTCCCACCGTTCCCTAAGTCTCCTCCAACCCTGGGTCCTTCCCAACAACCTGAGACTTTGTCGCCTTGCCTTTTGCTCTGCCCTCTTCACACCTCTTCTGGTTCTGGGAGACCAGCGGGGAGGAGAGCTGGTTGCAGCAGGAGGGGGCTTGGCTTTTTCAGCAGCCTGCCTGATTTTTGCCTCTTGCCCACCCTACTCCAGCCTCCGCTTCTGCCTCTGATTCTGGGCTGCTTTCTACTGCAGACTCGCTCTGCTCACTAAACCCTGTTACCTCTTCAGCTCCCGAAACCACCTCCTCTCAGTCTGCTCCCTCTTCATCCCACCACCTCTTCCCATGCTCTGAGCCTTCTTCTCTTGGGAGGGGGGTGTTTCCCCAGCGTGTACCTGCTGCCACTCCTCTGCATCCAGCCCCATGGCAATTTTCTTACTTTCAGTGATTACTTTCTTGCTTCTCTGATGCAGACAATGTCATTCAAAAAGTCAAAGGCCGTTTCAATTACACAAACTGCGCACAGACGAAGTTCAACTTGGAAAAGATCCAGGAAGAGCTCCTCTTGCGGCCTCCTGCACTTGTGAAGTTGGAAGATGCGGAGCTGAGGAATGGGATTGTGAACGGCCACACGGAGCTCCACATGGAATCTGGTGAGTCGCAGTCCGCAAAGGTGGATTCTTTGTCATCCATACTCAGGAGCTGGTTGGCTACATTTACTTGCTAGTTAACTTTACTGCAGTTCACTAATAGTTCCAGCTGATAGGCCGTAGTCACAGCCAAAAATACAAGAACAAATAAGAGCTTGCAAAGGCATCCTATTCACTTCTGTAATAGTTGTGGCATATTATTTGGATGCTATAGTACTATCGGGACGTGGGTGGCGCTGTGGGTTAAACCACAGAGTCTAGGACTTGCCGATCAGAAGGTCGGCGGTTCGAATCCCCACAACGGGGTGAGCTCCTGTTGCTCGGTCCCAGCTCCTGCCAACCTAGCAGTTCGAGAGCACGTCAAAGTGCAAGTAGATAAATAGGTACTGCTCCGGTGGGAAGGTAAACGGCGTTTCCGTGCGCTGCTCTGGTTCACCAGAAGCGGCTTAGTCATGCTGGCCACATGACCCGGAAGCTTTACGCCGGCTCCCTCGGCCAATAAAGCGAAATGAGCGCCGCAACCCCAGAGTCGGTCACATCTGGACCTAATGGTCAGGGGTCCCTTTACTTTATAGTACTATCAGAACTTTATGTGAAACTTTAAGCACACTAAAAGTGGTTCACGTGACTTGTTTTGTTAAATAACCCTGTTGGGTAGATCAGTATTGTTACCCAGATCTTGATCTCCCAAGAGGATTCCTCCCAAGAGGAATAAGTGCTTTGCAAATGATGCTGTGTGGAACTAATTCAGACACCAGGGTACGTAAGAAACATGAGAAACGGCTGTAAACGACATAGCAGTGCTCACCAGTCTCACTCTCTCTTTCTAATTCCCTTCCTTCTTGAACTGGCCTGAAGGTCCTGCTCACAGAATGCAACCTGTGTCTGCTTTGGGAATCTTATCTCTTGTTCTCAACATTATGTGTGGAGCATTGAATCTCATCCGAGGCGTTCACCTTGCAGAGTATTCATTTCAGGTAACTGGGGAGATGTCATGGGGACGAGGAGAGTGGAGGTAGGAATTTCTTTGGTACCTGTCCAGACCCCTGCGAGATCAGGCCGGTGGCTCATCTTGTGCAGTATCCTGTTTTCACAGCGGCCAAGATATATATCTTAATGGAAACCCACAAGCAGGGTTGATTTCCGCAGTCATGTTTGACATGATAATTTTTTATATTCTGCTGGAAGCCACCCAGAGTAGCTGGGGAAACCCAGCCAGATGGGTGGGCTATAATCATCATCATAATAATTATCAACAACACAATGTAATTTAACCTTGCTGGGCTAATGTGGTGATCTTTGTTAAGGGAACATTAGTTGCTTATACAACAGCCATGTGACTGTAAATATAATTACTTAAGATCAGATGTCAAGGTTAGCAACTTCAATTTTTGAGACTTTCTAGTACACCATGAACCTGCTAGGAACTGTGCGCATGTTAAGCCTCTATGAAAAGAAAATGTAAGCACTTTTATTTGTTTCTCATGCTGTTTGGCATTGGCTGCTGTTTATACTTTCGTTAGTATCTGATTGCAGCAGAAGCACTTATCATATTTGACACTGCTTTATATATTTTAACCCACCAATATCAGTTTTCTGATAGCTTACTTTATTATAAATTTAAAATGTTATAATATCCATATTTTCAACATGAATTGTTTATTTGGATCATTATATGACATTATCGGGCATTTAGACCTTAATTGTAACGATGCGTTGATTTGCAATTTTTGCTTTTGGGTCATTAGCCACTTTGGGCACATTTATGTGGGAGAGCGGCATACAGATTAAAATAATAACTTAATACCTGCAAATTGGCCACTGATAAATTTCGACTGGGAAACAACTGTGGAATCAACGTCTAAGACAGTAATGAAACCAGTAAGAGAGTTAAATAAATATCTAGGCTTATTTTACATGTTTTGCCCAGTGGGGCCCCCCACTCCGTCTTTTTAACAGAGCAAGAGTAACTTAGATATTGCAAAGTTCTGTGCAAGTTGAAAGCTGGTCAAATGTGAACCAATTAAACCTGACTCCATGCAAAACAGATGAACTGTTCTATCTCAGAAGAGCTCTTGACATCTTTGATGGGTTTGATGTGAGTGCAAACACCATTTCCCCCTAAATGGGGCTGTTGTTTGTTCAGAGCTATAAAAATATATTGTTTTACAAACTCCCCCCCCCCCCTTTTTTTTTAAATGCTGTGGAATAATTTTGAACTAGATGAGTACTTTGGTTTACATTTGTTTCTTCAGTGGCATGACTCACTGTGTACACAGTCTTAATTGTAAGTTAAATACCAGTTTAGTTCCTTCCTGATTCTGTTGCTTTGAGTGCTGAAGTAATAAAATAAAGACCACTGTGTACCTTCTTGAAACAAATCCATTCAGGCTTGCACACAGTCAGGGAGGCTTTCCAAATGCTTTGTGCCCCCTCCTTTTAGATGCACATGACTTAACACAGATATAGATCGGCAGGCAAGAGAGTATTTTTTCCTCCTATGGTCTAATAACTTTGTGGACTTATTTGCACCGACTGAGTTAATTTGACCTTCAAATGTCATCTTCCAACAGGAAGACCACAAAGGAATTGGAAATGTGATAGCATTTCTCCTGCCCTTTGTAGCCTGCTTTTTGTTGGTAAGTATATTATCTGTTTTCTTCCCACAAAAATCAGACGTGACATGATTTGCAGTCTTGCGGGGGGCAGGGGACGCAGGTGGCGAGGGGACGCGGGTGGAGCTGTGGATTAAACCACAGAGCCTAGGACTTGCCGATCAGAAGGTCGGCGGTTCGAATCCCCGCGACGGGGTGAGCTCCTGTTGCTTGGTCTCTGCTCCTGCCAACCTAGCAGTTCAAAAGCACGTCAAAGTGCAAGTAGATAAATAGGTACCGCTCCAGCGGGAAGGTAAACGGCGTTTCTGTGCGCTGCTCTGGTTCGCCAGAAGCGGCTTAGTCAGGCTGGCCACATGACCCGGAAGCTGTCTGCGGAAAACGCTGGCTCCCTCAGCCTATAGAACGAGATGGGCGCCGCGACCCCAGAGTCGGTCACTACTGGACCGAATGGTCGGGTCCCTTTACCTTTATAGAATATAGAGTCGTAAGGGACCCTAAGGATCGTCTAGTCCAGGCACGTCCAACAGGTAGAGGGCTTTCCCCCTCCCTAAGAGAAGCTCAACAACTTTGACCCTCCCAAAAGGGAGTAGCTCACTGCCAGTTTTTAACTGTGAGTAGATTGCAGTCTCTTGGGAGTTGGCCACCCCTAGACTAGTCCAACCCCCCTGCAATGCAGGAATACGCAGCTGTCCCAAATGGGGATCGAACCTGCAAACTTGTCGTTATCTGGAGAAGCCAGAAATTGGACCTAGGAACTCTCGCATATGTCCCTTCCTTTCATAGCCTGGTTGCAAAACTTTGCTAAACTTCTCTCTGGTTTTCTTCCTTTTCCAGTGCTGCCTTTACCTGTTCTACAGTTCAGCCAGGAAGATAAAGGTCTTTGTACTTTTCGTCACAATCTGTCTATGCAACATCTACCTGTATGGGTTAAGGAACATCTGGCAGATACTTTTCCACATAGGAGTGGCTTCCCTTTCTTCCCATCAGATACTGACACGGCAAGTTGTGGAGAAACAGCCAGACTTTGGAGTATGAAAACGATCGTGGAATACCAGCTGCGGGTTGTTGTTTTTTAAAAAATGTTTGGTTTGGGAAAGGGGGTGTTTAACACTGGTCAAAACCAGCTTGTGTAAAATGGCGAGGGTTTTTTTTGTCACCCAGCCTTTCCCAGAAGAATGGGTTTTAGCCCACAGTTGTGGGTTTATTGAAGCTCAAGGGAACAGGCATATACTGTGTCCAACTCAAGGCAGGGTCCTTTGAGCACCAGTTCTTTTCAGATCAACGCACATAATCTAGAGAATGATCTGGATGCCCTTGCCGGAGTGAAGCAGAGCCGAGGGCCTGATGGGTCCTACCTGTTCTGGGATTCCGGGAGAAAGATAGGCTGCAGTTTCCAGCAACCATAAAACAAATAATCTGATCTGTAGTGTCCTGCAAGCAGAGAGCAGGAGAGCTCTAGACAACCCCAGAACATCAGTCCATGCCCCACTGGAGAAGGCAAGCCATACAGGGATGGTGATTGTTGCTTTCACGCTGAACCCCCCCCCCCTAAATACGTTCCAGTCAGTCAAATACCCACACGGCACCACAAAGGCCAGGCTTTCGACTCCTACAAGTTTAAGACACAGGTAGAGCTAATAGAATGGTTCGTGGCTTTTTTATGGCAAAGATGGCTTTAAATGGTAGGCAGCTTGTTGTGACTACGCTAGGGGAGTAGCAACTGATATAATCTCGAATGCAGATTATAGATGCCGTTTGCATGCATTTAGGTTAATAGTAATGAACGAGTTGTTGGGCAAACGCTTTGTATGTATTAGAGGTAACAGGAGGAAAAGGCTAAAGAGCTGAATAGGAGGTTTATCAGTAGAAGGTGGTCCATTGGGGCAAATAGGCACTGCCCCACCAGCCCAGGTGTGCTCTCAGCCAGGCCTCACCTGCCTGCTTTTTTGCTCGCAAGCTGTCCAGAAACTGGCTCTGTCAGCTTCCTCCTCCTCCTCCTCTTTCGTCTCAGTGTTGCTCTTGTGTAACTCAACAGGAAGGAGGATGGGGGCAAAAATAGAGTTGATTGGTTCTGCCTGTCATTCACCTGCTTTTGGGCTCCCTGCCTTCTGCCCTACCAGTCCCAACATACACCCCCCATCAGCGGTGTTGATGTTCCTTTGCAAATCATCCAGGCGGACGTTCCTTGCACATCCTATTCAGCACTTTTCCTTCCTGGCCTGTGTGTTGTTTGTACAAAGGCACTGGAGGTAGAACAGGGTAAAAAAAAGAGGTCCGTTGGCAGAACAGACAAGTGGGAGATATCAGCACCAGGCATTGTCTCACTGATGGGGATCATTTGCTCCCTATGCAGATAAAAACATTTCAGCTGAACTGAACAGCTTTTAAATAGCAACCAGGGTGCAAGTTGTCTGCCAGCAACAGCACTGGTTTAGGGTGGCCTCCGGAAACTGGTGCATCTGTTGGGATTCTTAAAGAGTTCTAGCTTTCACTTAAATAAACGAAAATGTTTCTAGTGGTGTGGGCTAAGGAAATGAGACTAAAAAGAGAGAGAGCGATAGTCTTCTGACAAGTCTATAGAGAAGGGAAACAAGCCTGGACTCCAGTTCCAGTTCTCTGCCTTCCTGTCTTGCAGCCCACACCTTTTAAAAAGAGAAAGCAACTTGCTCTATGGGAGAGGCTCCCAATAGCCTCCCTAATGCAGCTTTCCGTGTGCAGAAAATTTCCCGAAGGAACTTTCAATCTCCCTTTCATGGTCCGCCCTGATACAATTCAGGCACATTTATTAACTTTTGTAAGAATATATGATTCATATTAATGGAAGCTATTGCCCTGTAACTGAGACTAGAGCAGGTTCTCTCTCTCCTGATACTCTTATTGCGGCTCATTGGGTGTATTTAAGATTTGTGAACAGAGTTTAATTTAAGAGCATGCACTTTTGAAAGTAGTAACTAGAACCTGTGCTCCTCTCAGCCTCTGCTGCACTGTACAGTCCGGTATTTAATGTGTAGAAATATGCCAGCGTTTACACCATTTGTGAACCCCTTTTTGATAACTTTTGGAACAAAGTTTGTCGTGTAAAGTTTTGATGCAGTTTTTCTCGGTGACGGATTAAGATGTTTTACAGGACACTCTCTTACTTGTGATAGTTTGGGGTTAGAGTCATTTGTTGGACTGCAAACCATTCCCACATTCATTCTCACTGCATATCCTGCAGGACTCATCCCCCTACTCAGGATTTTGTATTTTCTCTCTTGACTATGAGAGAGAGGGGAAACGGATGGAGAGAATTAACTTTCTTAGTCTGCAGACAGCTGGAGGTGCGAACTGAAGAAATTAATAATTCTCTAAAATCTGTTGGTAGCTCACACTGAGACTTCATTGTGTATTTAATAGCTGACACCCACCTCAAGTCACAAAAGCAACTCACATAATCTCCTGCTTCCCCTTCACTACCAAAACCACTGCCTCTCCTCTGCCTGCTATCCCAAATACATCTTGTTCCCCTTCAGATTTCAGCATATCAGTGGAATGAGCTCCATCTGTGGTTTCATTTTTTTTTCTTAAAAGGAAAGTTCTTCAAAACTTAGCCTGTGACCCTCAGCAAGCTTAGAGATTATCCAAAGAGTCAGAAAAATCTCTTGGTACAGCGATTGGGTGGGAATGGCGTTTTTGAATGAACCAACGCACAAACTCCCTTCAGCATAGAAGACTAGTATGCCAGAAAGTGCACTTCTCTTCTTTTTAGGAACGCGCTTTTTTCTTTTTCTTTTCACCTGTGGGGCATTCACACACGCGCATGCTTCCTTCTCCATTTGTGTAATTACTTCATGCATGGAAGCGTCGCATGAAATCAGCAAGATTTCTTTTCAAGCCGACGTATTTGGCGTTCAGGTTTTTGGTGAGGCTGAGCAGCAGTGCCAATCCCTGTACAGATTTCCACAAGACATAGGGGAATCCAGAGGGTCAAATGCAGGGCAGAAGTTTGTGCAATGTGGGTAACCAACTGCGCAGCTAGTTCTGTGCTTCCATCTGGGCCCCCTTGGCTGGTTCAAAGCTGGCACTGCTGTCGGTCAGCCACTTTCATTCTGGTGATCTGCAACCTGCAGGGAAGCCACATACGCAGTGCAAAGTGCTTTATTTTCTTGCTTTTCCCTGCAACCTCTTAGCCCAGTGTGCTTAGTGCCTCCTGGTTTTACAGATGGGGTAACAGGCTGCCCGGGACGCGGGTGGCACTGTGGGTTAAACCACAGAGCCTAGGACTTGCCGATCAGAAGGCCAGCGGTTCGAATCCCCGCGACGGGGTGAGCTCCCATTGCTCGGTCCCTGCTCCTGCCAACCTAGCAGTTCGAAAGCATGTCAAAGTGCAAGTAGATAAATAGGTACAGCTCCAGCGGGAAGGTAAACGGTGTTTCCGTGCGCTGCTCGGGTTCACCAGAAGTGGCTTAGTCATGCTGGCTACATGACCCGGAAGCTGTACTCCAGCTCCCTCAGCCAATAAAGTGAGATGAGCGCAACAACCCCAGAGTCGGTCACAACTGGTCCTAAGGGTCAGGGGTCCCTTTACCTTTACCTTTAACAGGCTGCCCAAACCAACCTCAAGGCGAGCCAAGGATTGCCAGGCCGAAACCCACAGCCCCATCCTCTTGACCATAACGGCCACCATTATTTTGATACTGTGTCATTTACAAAGGAGAAGTGCAAGTTTGATACGCTGTTTTCACATATTTTGAGTTTTTTTAAAATAAAATAAAAAGGGCATGTGCTAGGCTGATTGGGGAAATTAATGAGACAGCTCAAAATAAAAAGGGCATATGCTAGGCTGATTGGGAAAATTAATGAGACAGCATAAGAATCTCAGGGTTGTGGGTTCGAAACCCACACTGGGGGAAAAGATTCCTGCATTGCCCAGGGTTGGACTAGATGACCCTCGAGGCCCCTTCCAGCTCTACAGTTCTTTGATTCGATGAGCCTAGTTCTCACTGAGGTGGTCTGTGTCTGAGTTTGTCTATGGGTGGGGGCTTTCAGGGTGGAAATTCCCCCAATGCTAAATGAATTCCCTGCTCATGGAAAACCATCATGTAAGGGAGAAGGCTAGAGTAGAACCCTTCTCCTAACAACTTCGTGAGATGGTTTCTTTTGCTTAATTAAATGTTTTATCCTGTGAGCCCCACAGCCTACGATTGGAAGCGGCAGAACCCAGATGTTGAGTTGATCACGTTCTGAACGCTGGCTCTTTACAGCAGTGTTTAGAACAATTTTCCTGTGTTACTGCTGTGCTATTACTGTATCTCGTTAATGAACGGGATTATATCCAACCAAGTTTTACTCAGAGTAGATCCATTGAATTGAATGGACCTAAGTTAGCTGTGCCCATTAATTTCATTGGGTATGGCTAGCATTGTATACAACTCAATCCAACAAATTGATTATTTAAAACCATGCTGAAAAGGGGCAGAGTTAAGAATGTATTTTGAAAAGGACACATATAGGATGGTTTTGTGCTGCTTTAGTAAACGATGCCCATTCCTGCTTCCTCATTCCACACTTGAGTTTTGTTTTAGTAACAGCCAACTAATGCCACATTTTAATTTGTACAATTAACAGGCAGGTTAGGATTTTAAGCAAGCTCCCATCCCCTTTTTATTTTCAAACCAAAGAGATTCCTCATACTTTTTTTGCGCATGGAAAAAGAGGTACCATTTTTCTGGAGATGTTTTTGCACTGTATTCTAAAAAGACTGATCTTTCGTCGCTGTCGAAGTCATTTTTTTTGCATGAGTGTACATATGTATATAAACTAACAGACAATTAAAAGTCAAAGAATAAATGACCTTTTTGTAATTACTTGTGACCTGTGATTTGTACAGCATCGGACTGGTAAGTCCTGCCTCTTTCAGAAGTCCTCTTGCAACTCTTCAGGGTCCTGAAAGATCTGTAGGTCTATAGAACTTGCTAGCGCAAGTTAGGAAGGATATTAATAAAGAATATATCCCCTTCTGCCTCCCTGAACATTCCCACACAAAGCATGCATTTTGCCACTAAGGTACCACCGCTCCCCAGTTTTCCTTTATGAGATCCTGAATGAATTGGTCCAAATCCCTTTGTGCGTTCAATCTGTTTCCCTCTTGGTCCTGCACCTCCCGTCACTCCGAAAAAGAAAGCAGGGCCTGGATGCGCTCAACGGTTTTTTTCTTTCAGATATTTGTATGTGCAACACTCCTGTCGCTTCTCTTGTTTGAGCTTGAGAAACAGGCGCACCGGTTGATGTCAGCAGAGGAAGCAATTAGGAGCAGCTTTCCCTTTTGAAGTTGTGGATAAAAGCGACCTGGGCGTGTTCCATCCGTCAGAAGTGGAGCGCCACACGCAGAGGGAAATGGGGAGATTAAAACATTTTTGAGGACGGTTGGAAATTTTGAAGCATGCTGCACCGCTTTGAAATTAAAAGGCACATTAAACAGTTGGTCCCTTACCTTTCTCGCCCTGATCTGGCCACAGTGATCCATGCGACGGTCACCTCCAGGCTTGGTTATTGTAACTCGCTCTATGCGGGGCTGCCCTTGAAGCTGACCCAGAAACTCCAGCGGGTGCAGAATGCTGCGGCGAGGCTCCTTACGGGGTCCTCGCTGCGGGATCACATTCATCCAGTGCTTTACCAGCTGCACTGGCTCCCGGTGGAGTACAGGTTCAGGTTTAAGGTGCTGGTTTTGACCTTTAAAGCCCTATGCCTAGGACCCTCATACCTATGGACCGCCTCTCCCGGTATGCCCTGCGGAGGACAACACTTTGGAGGTCCCAAGTCGCAAGGTGGTTAGATTGGTGTCAACTAGGGCCAGGGCCTTTTCAGTACTGGCCCCAACTTGGTGGAACGCTCTGTCACAAGAGACCAGGGCCCTGTGGGACTTGACATCTTTCCGCAGGGCCTGCAAGACAGAGCTGTTCCGCCTGGCCTTTGGTTTGGACTCAGTCTGACCCTTATCTTTCCCTCCCCTTCTGGTTTTGATCTATGGGCTACTTTTAAAATGAGGCTGCATTTTAAATTGTATTTTAACCTGTATTTTAAATTGGTCCCCCCCCTATTATTTTTTATTGTAATTTTACTGGTGTTAGCCGCCCTGAGCCCTGCTCTGGCTGGGGAGGACAGGGTATAAATTCTTATTCTTATTATAGGATGTTACTGGCTACTGAGGAAGGAGCTTGGGAGGCCACAGAATGATACAGTGGTGCCTCGCAAGACGAAATTAATCCGTTCCGCGAGTCTCTTCATCTTGCGGTTTTTTCGTCTTGCGAAGCACGGCTATTAGCGGCTTAGCGGCTATTAACGGCTTAGCGGCTTTAAGAAAAAGGAAACAAACTCGCAAGAACTCGCAAGATGTTTCGTCTTGCGAAGCAAGCCCATAGGGAAATTCGTCTTGTGAAGCACCTCAAAAAACGGAAAACTCTTTCGTCTAGCGAGTTTTTCGTCTTGCGAGGCATTCGTCTTGCGGGGCACCACTGTATAAGAATGCTATTTAAGTGAATTCCACCCAGGACCCACTTTTAACCCAAACAGGCATCTGGGGACGCCATTTTTCATGGGGGAAAGTGCTCCTCTTGCAACCCACCTTTGGGGATCAGGCCGTGACACGCTGGCGGGCTCTAACCCACCGGTTAAAGACCTGTGGCCTGTAGGAATTCTGTGCATTCCAGTGCCACCCACAAACAGGGTGGATTTGATTTAAATCAAATTGATTTAAATCACTAGTCAGTAAGACTTGATTTAAATCTTTCTTTCTTTCTTTCTTTTTACAGAAAGACTAATTCTTGCCGGAATAATCTTAATATTTACAACCAGGCAAAGGTTTCATTTTTTGAATAATAAATTCTCAGAGTAGTTTTTAGCATTATGCCAAAAATTACTGATTTGGATATACAATTAGAAATAAAATTAACAGATAACTATGAAATTATTGTGAGGTTTAATAAGTTAACTGTTTGTATTTGGACAACTTTTCTGCTGTACTTTATTGGAAGGAGAAAAACAATCATTTCCTTAATAACAATTTAAGCAATGTATTTAACTAAAACAATAACATTATAGCATCCATTATAGTATCCATGTTTGTTAACTGATGTGGTTAAACGATTTTATTTTTTTTAACACCTTAGACTGAGTTTTAGCACGCATGAAAAACTTAAATCCTTATTTCCTGATGAATAGCCTTTGGACTATAATGTAACTTAAATAGAAAACTGTCTTTAGAAAGATTTTCCCTCCAAAAGCATTTAATTTTAAAAATCCAATTTAAATTAAAAAAATCTGATTTAAATTTAAAAAAATGATTTTATTATTGTTATTATTCTAAAAAATCATTGCTTTTTATCCACCCTGTCCACAAGCATTGACTAAAAGGCAGGAAAGCCACTTTCCTTGCCCCCCAGCTCTTCAGCTGTGACATGTGATTAAAATAAACAGCCTTCTTGGTGCAAAAGAACTTGGGGAAACTCTTTTCTGCATAATATCCTCTTGGGCAGCAGAGGGCAGTGATACACCAA